CTGTTGTCAGATAATCATTTAAATGATTATCCCCTGCATATCAATCCTAACCCAGCAACAAATTATTATATCTTACAAAATAACATTAAAAGGCAGAATCCAAACAATCAGGACAGATTTACTTCATGCTCACTGTGCAGTCATTACAACGACCTTACATTTAAGCCATCTTGCATTTTAGGAAAAAAAAAAAATGAAAAAAAAAATATTTTAAAAAGCAAGAGTCCTCAGCTCATATGACTGAAGCACCCAGAAAGGCTTTCAAAATTAAGTCTGAGTTCACCAACTCTGGGAAAGAACTTCTCCTGTCAGTCTTTGTGAATAAGTTTTTCAACGTTTTTCAACCCTCTCAGATCTTAAAAGACCTCTTCCTTCCATGACAGCTCTCTGGGGTGCCCCTGTAGGGGCCATGACGAGGTTTATCCCACTAGAAAGGTGCTTGGACTCACTACGGGCTTGTCCTGCCGGAGGCACGCGCAGGCTGGAGCTGTCCCCGGAGCCCCAGGGAGGCTCCTGCCACTGCGCCCCAGCAGGACCGACCTCCCAGCCCCAGGGAACACCTGCCCCAGCTCTCCTCGTGCAAGGAGTGCCACGGGCAGAGGTGCTTCCCACCTCCCTGCATGCCTGCCACGGGAAGGGTGTTTTTGGCCCTCACTCCTGGCTCAGGGCAGGAGCAGAGCTCGGAGCACCATGGCAAGAGGTCTTATGGACCAGTGTGGCTAAAAGCACCACATGCCTGGCACAACAAAAAGCCACCACCTCGGGGCTGGCAGCTGGAATATGCTTGCAGCTAGTACCTAAAGTTTCTCTCCCACCTGGAGAATTGCAAATCCTAAAAAGGTGACATTTTAGCACATGTCTTTTAATGAACTTGCCTATGACTATTTTCAACCTCCAAAGTTCTTCCCTGCACCTATTTCGGGGTGAATGAAGAGCCCTTCAGTGGGACTCCTATTGATTTTAGTTCCAATGTAATCAAGCTTTGCCTGCATTATTTAATGTTTATTTTAAAGGCTTAGGCAATCTTAAGAACAACCTCAGCTATTTTAAACTACGTTAATTTGATCATACTAATCTACAGTTTGCAGGCTCAAAATTCAACATCCACAGCTAATGATGACTCAGACCACTCATTTCTTCCTAGATTTTTTTTTTCTCCTTTTTTTTGGAAAACAAAGCATCTCACAACCTTCTGTATTACCATTTTGCCAGTTATGATTTCTACAACCAGACATCACAGACTTTTGGAGCTGGATGATCAACTGGGGGGTTGGATAACGAAATCTATTCCATTGGGGAATCTAAATTGGTTAGACTCATTGTTTATATTACAATTTTCCCCTTAGGTCACAAATAGTCTGCTAGGGAACTGTAAATGAAGGTACATGCTGGCCTTGAGACAAAACCACCCACATTAAGTAAATTTAAATCAGTGCTTCCTCCAGGAAACAAAGAGTTGTATTACTTACAAGCAGATTTTATTATGGTTTAGAGAACTGTTTAAACACATCTAGCACATCAAAGGAAAACAGATTTAAGCTGCTGTGCTCATTGTTTAAGAAATATAGGTTGATTGATGCAAAGATCAACATGATTGATGACTCCCTGTAACAGTTCAGTGAAAACATAGGCCATAGTAAAGATGAAAATATTCAGTTTCATCAAAATATCTTCAGATTTTATATTTAAAATTAAGGATAAGATAGTTTTATTCTAACATTTTAAAAATAAAATCAAGTTCATGAAAGCAATACAATAAATAATTTCACAATACCATGTTGGCTTCTCTCTTCAAGGCCACAAAAACACCCACTAATCTGATCATCCAGAACATACCTAAAACTTCCAAAACATTACAGCATCCAAGATGTCTTTATGCACATTTGTGAACTATAGCATCCAGTAAACATGCAGATTCATACAGCGGCATGCAAACAGCCTAGCAAAGAAAGGGTTAAGACAAAAGAACATTCTCAAAGCAATTCAAATAATCCCTCTAGATCATTCTGTATGTGAGAAGTATTGTAGCTGGAAAGCTGGACTGGTGTCAGTTCAGAAGTTGCTGCTGATCTGACACAAGCCAAAGGAACCAGCAAACTGCAAGGAGAAAGTTGCTAGATACAATAAAAACCCCCAAAACCCCACAACACACAGAGCAGAAGTTTTATGCTAAGAATCAGTTGGACCTCCTTTACTTTGCAGAAACAATTATTTTACTTTTAATTTCAAAGAGGTTTTCAAGGAAAAGACTGAAGGAAATATATTTCATTTTGGCAGACCACACATTGCACAAAATAAATTTAAGAATCTATTTTTGGGCTAGAATGGTTGAAGAAATCCCTGATTAGCCTCTTAATGGGGTGAATCCAATTTATTGAGAATGATCACCAGAGGGAGTCATTGACTTTCCCATTAAAGTCAAAGGGAATTTTACATACATCAGGGATGCAGAATTTGGGGGCAGAGCTGAAAAAGACTTCAAACAGATTGGAGTTCAGGGAACAACACAAACCACAATTTTATGGATTTAATCTGAATCCATTTTCCTCTTTGGAGTCTCCAAGGATGACAGCTATATTCAATGGTTAAAATTAGAAAGAAGGCACTGAAGTCATCCATTCAGTGGGTACACACCCACAATACTAACAGAAAAAAAAAAACAACAAAAAACCCCAAAAACCACCAAAAAAAAACCAAACCAAAAGAAAAACAGCCCCAAAAACCAATCATCCACTCACCCACCCACCCAAACAAAACCCCATCAACAGA